ATTGGGATGAGTTGGGCCCAAAAGAATTAATGAAAGGTGACGACTATTTTATGAATTATAAAGTTTAGGGACCAAAAGTGCAATTTTCCCTTGAGGTTTTGAAAGCTAAAACCCCCTCATTTTATATTCAGATTTTCCGTAAACTAACCCCCTAAAAATCTCACCAAACTTCTTTTTTCTTCCTTCCATCATTTTACATTCCTCTTCCTTTTAAAATTCAGGTTTCCAAACGTTTCAAATCTAATTTGGCTTAGCTAAGGTAAGATTAATAATCTTTATCATCCTAACTTCAATTCAAGCTCAATTTCTCTAGTTTTAATCTTGGAACCAAAAATGGGTGTTTGAGGGGTTTATGAAAATCTTTAGATTCTCACCCATTTGTAGTAAGATTTAAGTTATAGAAAACATTTTAAATCTCAAACCAAGAATCTAGAGAGTTGGTAAACCTTTTTCTTGATATTGTTTAGTGAATGAGGTGAGAGAAAACTCAAAAGCTAAAGGAAAATAGAAAGCACCTCTTGAGTGAGTTGGGGACTTTACCATTAGTCAAGAAATTCAGGGTAATAACACTTACAACCCCTCATACTTCTTGTGGGTCATTTAAGATATAGCTTTGTTCTAAAAAATTTAGTTGAAGCATGCTAAATTGCTTTCATGGTAGATCACATATGTTGAAGTTATAAGCATGTTTAAAGCCTTATTAATGAGCCTACATGATTAGATAAAACACAAATAACATTTGGGAATCTTTAGGTAACAATGTGGGTGAATTTAAGTGCCCAAATAAGGTATTTACGGTGAAAAGTATTGGTACTAGAGGGATCAGTACCGATATTGTTCTTGTTTTAGGCTTAAAATATATGATCATTGTAAGGGCAGTATCGATACCCCTTAAAGGTGTATCGATACTGGCGGTTCAGTATCGATACCGGGGGTATGGTATCGAGACCAATAATCCAATAGCCACTTTTGTACCACAACTCAAGAAGTATTGATACCAGTATCAATACTCTCGGCAAAGTATCGATACCAAGACTCTATTTTCAACATTGAAACCAATTTCAGTATCGACATCATGGATAGTATCGATGCCATAGTCTGGAGTATCAATATTGGGTTAGTAATATCGATACTATTCACCCATTTTCAGCTTTAATTTAACATAAGGTATTGATACCCAAGGGTGAGCAACGATACCCTCATTCAGTTTTGGGCTCAAAACCCAAAAGTTTTTAAGGGAAATAGGGGGTTCCCAAGGAATTTAATTACTCTCAAATAAGACTTCAATTGGAACATTAATATTATTTAATTACATTTAGAAACATGATCAATTAGGGTGACATAAAACTAGCCTTGATTGATGCTCGGGAAACGATCATGACACCCGAGTTCCTTTAGTAATGCTAAGAGTGTCGATGTATAGATTCAGTCTGGATATCCTTAGCTAGAGTGCAAGGCACTTAAAAATGACTAGCTAGGGCTGTTGGAACCATCGCTGCACCTCGTGATGCAGCAAAAATTTAATTCAACGGTTTCTCCAGCGATCCAAGTATGATTACCAAAATTAGGAGGAAGTGATATGATTACTTACATTAGGTTCCATGAAAAATAGCAAGACAGTAGTAGTCATGAGTTGGTTGAATTGTAAGCCTTCACGATAACCGTCTCAGCCTCTACTCAGTTCACCTGTTGAAAAGTTGAAAGCAAATTTCTTATCTCAAAAACTATTTTTGAGATATTTCGTATAAAAGGCTTAAAACGGTTGCTAGACCTATCTTAACCTTTTATATCAGTTACCCTAACTATTATCGTTTTTTTAATTCTGAATTAATTAAATCTGAATTTAATTATTCTAAATTAAAATATTCTAAATTAATAAACATTAAAAGAATTGTAATCATAATTACATTCTTTTAATAGTCGTTTATTATATTTAGGATAATTAATATATATATATATATATTAACTTTAATAATATTCTACAGAAACGTACAATAAATTGTACATTTAAAATCCGTTTAATATTTTCTCATTTCAACCCTAGGGTGTGACCATGTACGTTCCTGTAACATTAGTAGTAATCATTAGAACCATTCTAATATTACAAACAATGAGTTACATCTAGCAATATATCATTGTCACCTATGCTAGAAGAAGTCAAGATTTAATATAACATATTCGTGACTAACTCTTTTATAAATTTTATCATTTTATCCTTTATATCTAGAATAGGAACAAGTCTTGGAATAGTCACACTTGTATAGCCCATCATTTATTTCTTGATATATAGAGTAGACTACAATAAACGAATAATTTGTGATATCTCTTATCAACTTATTCAAGCATGGCCATGCATTTCTAGTCTCACTCAACCAAGTGCATGTGATATATTTCCTATTATATAGGAAGGAAAAATCCTATTTTGATCATTCACAACACACACCACATATATTGTGATATGTTCAATATCAATCTTTATAGTGCAACCAATCACGAAGCATGTTTAACTGTATCAAAACATACAACAATAAATGATAAGATAGTAATGATCTCAAGTCTGAGGATCATACATATAGTCATCACCATGAGCAATGTTGTGACTGTCACATAATAATCCAAGACATATGCTCATAGTGGGTTATTTCAATATGTCGTTCTCTAACAAAATATTCATGCAATGATTCTGACATCTCTATGTCAATGACAACTCATTATCATCAATCAACAACATGTTAGCCTTAAATGTATTATTATTGTCCATGCCCATAATAATCGACTACGGATATTTAATAACAATCATATTAATATATAGACTTTATTATATTTTAGTTTATTTAAGACACAAAAAATATAATTGAAATAAATAATGGTAATTCCTTTATTCAAAAAATGGTAAATAAAAAGTAGCATTGCAATCATGTCATGATTGGTCTTTGGGAATACTTTAACAAGGGCGCAAGGTCTGACACTCTCAAGGGATTGGCTAGTCGAGGGTGTTGTGTCTGATACAAAGATTTTGGACCTCATCCTCGATAGACTAGAAGAGTGTGTAAGCTCTGAGATACAGAAAACCCTTAGCCGCACCATGATGTCTGTCATGGAGTAGAGAGTGAGTATATGAGTATACTAAATATATTATTTTATTAGTGGGCTTGATCATGTTAATGAACCCTTTTTTATATATTTGTGTTGTTAATGTGGCACCGGGCTAGTTAGCTCAACGTTTGGAATTTGTTTCCTTATGCAGATTAGGTGAGGAGTAGTAGAGGGGCATTTTAACTAGCAGCGATCCAAACCAGATTCAAAGAAGAGTACATCTCGAGTTCTTTATAGGGAATGTATATTTTGAAACCCTTATTTTGTACATTTGTAATGATGTTTTGTATAATCAAGTCGTAATTCATTTTAAATTGATGGGATGTATATTTTGAATTGATATTTAGGGAGCCCCAATGTAAACTAATTTATTTAAACATTATTGTTTATTTTATCATGAGTAATTATAAATGAATATTCTCAATTGAGTAAGTTTAAAAAAATTGGTTTGTAACTTCGGTGGTTCGTGTGGCACACTTATCGGTCAACTATGTGTCATGCTGGTGTAGGGTGTTACGTTGATCTTTTCTTCATCTACATGGATTCCCTGTGCACTAACTATAAAGCCTAAAAATATAAGATTATCGCTACAAAACACACATTTGTCCATGTTAACAAATAAATGTTCTTGTCGTAATACTTCAAAGACAGAACGAACGTGCCTAACATGAGATTCAAGAGAATATGAGTAGAAAAGGATATTATCAAAGTAAACAATAGCATAATTACCTATTAAATCCTTTAAAATGTGATTCATTAGTGTCATGAATGTTATTGGCGCATTTGTGAGTCTGAAAGGCATGACGAGCCATTCGTAGAGTCTAAACTTTCCCTTGAAAGTTGTTTTCCATTCGCCACCTTCTTTCATTCGAATTTGATGGAAACCACTTTTCAAGTATATCTTCATAAAGATGCAAGATCCATAAAGTTCATCTAACATATTATCAAGGCATGGAATAGTATGCTTGTATGTGATTGGTATGTGGTTTATTGATCTACAATCTACACACATTCGAAATGTTTCATCTTTCTTTGGCACGAGAATCACTGGAATGGCACAAGGGCTAAATCTTTTACAAATGTGGCCTTTTTGCAGTAATGTTTTTTCTTGTCTTTCAAACTCCTTGGTTTCTTCGGGATTACATCGGTATGTTGGACGGTTCGAAATAGTGGATCCCAGAATGAAATTGATTTGGTGTTTGATTTCTCTTTTCGGTGGTATGTCATCCGGTGGATCGCTTAAAACATCTGTGAAATCCTACAAAAGAGAAACAAAAACACTAGGCAAATCGGTGAGGTTAATAGAAATGAAAAGTGTGGTGTCTTTGAACCGGTTAAGATACATGTGTTGTTTTGGGAAAAGGTTTCTCTCAAGTCTTTTAAACTCGCATAAATGTTTTGCGACACTCTCTTTTTCTCACAAGTGGATTCCCTCACCTCCCATGGGTTATTCTTTGGCTTTTATGGGTTGTGACCTCTTTTTGTTTTGCCTCTTTCTTTAAGTTCCCAACCTCCTCACAGATTCTCTTTTGATCTTGCTTAATGTCTTTTGGATGCATCGGTTTGAGACTGTAAGGTTTACCTTTGATGTTGAAAGAGTATGAGATGTTTGCATCAAAAATAAGTCACATTATCATGGTCGTCTCAAAAAAATATTAGATGCTTGCATTGGAAGTACATCACATCACACATCGTCACAATATTTACTCATCTTCAAATTAACTAGGCATTTTTTCATGACTTTCAACTCGGTATTCTCAGTAAGACATTGTAAGCAGTATGGCTTTGGATACCATTGACAAGGCAAGTTAAGTGTATCCACTACATAACTACTGATTAGATTAACACAACTTCCATTATCAATGATCAATGAGTATACTTTAACTTAAATCTGACATCTCATGTGGAAGATATTTGTTCCTTGTATATCCAAGTCATCGACTGTTTTTGTACTCAAACTTTTCCTCATAATCATGCATAATAAGTCAAACTCATCACTGTCTGAGTGAATGGGCGTATCTTTTTCCAAAGCCTCTAGACAATCCGATTTGTATCGGTCCAACGATAATTCTCTTCTCGGATTACCATGGTTTTCAAATTTGGACAATCGCGACTGACATGGTTGTGACCTTTGCATTTAAAGCATAAGGTTTTATTTTCTCAGGACTTTTTAGGTTTTTCAGCCAAGTCTTTATAAGCTAACTTAGGCTTTTCACCCCTCAATTTCTTATTCGCGGCAAAAGAATGAGTGGATGATGAAGTAAGAGTTCAATGGATTACCAAAGGAAGAAGCTGAGGTACCTTGGCAGTTTTCTCAGAAATGAAATCTCCTTTGAAGTTGTTCTTTGATTGTTATCTCTTTCTTCTATATGTCTTCAAGACTCTCTTGTCCATGTAAATTAATAAGATCAACCATGTTTGTGTTTAAGCAAACAACAAATCTTGACATTGTGTCTTCTTCGTCTTCAGTTATGTTTGTCAGATTTAACAAGGATTGCATCTCATTGTAGTAGTTTTTGACTGAACTTCTTCCTTGTCGAAGTCAATAGAGTCGTTTTACTTCCCATATATATGGTTTCAGAAGAAAACGGTTTCGTATGACATTCTTTAATACGTCCCATGATCTAATGTTCGAAATTATGTGATCTTGAATTGCTTTTCAAGTTTGCATCCACCATGTATGAGTATACCCTGAAAATTCCAAAATTATGAGTGGTACATGTTCTTCGAGAGGACAATCATGGTAGGAAAACATGAGATCAACTTTTCCTTCCTAATCGATGTAGCCATCCGAATCCTAATCTCCTTGGAAAAAAGGAATTGTGAACTTTGGTTTTGCAAAAAGTTTCATCATTTGAAATCTAGGTTGAGCACGCCTAGGGACCATCAAATTGTTTGGTTGATTGTCATTGGGTGTTCTCGATTGGTTAATTTACGGTTGTTGTTGTTGTCGTAAGGTGATGTTGAGTTCAACAAATTGTTGTTGAAGTTTGATAATTGCAGTCAAGATACCCTCAAGGTTTTTATTGCATTTCCTTTGTTATCCATCCTGAAAATCCCAACACTCAAAGAAAAATTTAAAGTGGAAAAAGAAAAGAAAAACAAGAAACCTCACAAGTCACTCCAAGGAAGCAACACAACGAAAGACAAGAAAGTCGATCTTGTACTCTTTAAAACTTTCTTCTCTAGAAGTCTTTTGATGTTTGTATCAAAACTTTCTTCTCTAGAAGTCTTTCGATGTTTGTATCAGAGTTTGATCACTAACAAAAGAAGAATATAACTTAGGAGTTCTAAGATGCCAAAGAAAGATATGACTCTGAGAATGCAAGGGAGAAGAAATATGCAAACTCTTTAGTCCTACTAATACAAGGAATAGAATGTGTTAGATTATGTAAAAGAACAAAGAAATGGTGAACTAGAGAACCTAAGGCAATAAGATTCAAAGAAAAGTTGGAAAGCTAAAATATGGACAGAACCTAAAATGTTGGATCAACTTGAGCAATGTTTTTTAGGGGTTGGCGATCTCCAAAAAAATTGATTTTTTATGCAGTCTAGTTATGATTTGGAAAATTTTAGCAAAAAAATCTTTCTGGAAAATTTTTGGAAAATTTGATATTGTAAGTAGCATGAATCTGCTGAACAAACTTTAGTGATTGAATTGAAGGGGTGAATGAACTCCGGTTTGGCTGTATTTTGGACTGTAGAACCTTTTTTATATGAGGTATGGTCCTATAAAAAATCAGCTCTAAATTTATTCATTTGCTTTTTTTTCTTTTTGATAAAAAATAGTAAACTAAAAGAAAGGAATCCAAACTAAATCAAAAGATTGCAAAAAGAACCTGAAAATGATGAATCTTTGTGAACTAGCTCTATTGGGGTACTTCAGCGATTGATGCTTACAAGAACAATTAAGAATGCCTAGTTCTCTCCAAGAGTCATCCCAAATTTGATACCAATTGATACAGAAGTGGTAGCGGATGATATTAACGTTGCTCTAATAGATGAAACAAACCTAGGAAGGCTCTAGACTCAAAGAATAAACGAAAAGGCTTTGAATGGGTGTTTAGGGATTGACGGTAAGATTAGGGTTTTTGGAGGAGTTTTGTTTGCTGGAAAATATAAAAAGAAAACAAAATTAAAACAATAAAACAAGGGTAATAAGATTGAGAATGAATAAGGACAAGAGAAAACAAGGGTAAGAATTAAAACAAGAAAAAAACATATAATAAAAAAGAACAAATTATCTTACCTTTAGAGTAGGTGCCCAAATTAGGGTTTGTTTGATTTTAATGGATAAATACTGGAAAGATGATGAAACAAGGAAGAAGTTGGTGAAAATGGAATTAAGATAGGATGGATAAATTATGAGAAAAACTAAATTAAAAATTTACCCCCGATAGTATGATACATAACGCAAACCCTATGGTTTGATGTGGATTGGCGTGAATGATAATAAAGGAAGAGGATGATGATGGATGATGAAAAGATAGATGGATATGTCTTATCAAACCCTCTTAATCGTAAAGAAAAGGAAAACTCGATAATATGGCTCTAACCAGCCCTCCTAATCGCTGTGAATATGGAAACCAGAGTATGAAGATCTCTTTCTCAAGAACTCAGAAGAACTAAAGAATAAGATTCTTTGAAGGCACAAGGCAATCAACTCTTGTAAAAATGAACTCTCGTTGTATTGAATAAAAAAAATTGATGATTACAATGAGGGGGGCTCTTTTATTTAGTGTTTAAGGGGTCCTTAGGGAAACATGATTGATGAATAAAATAACAATAAATACAGCAAAATAATTAAAAAAAAAACTATCCTAAATGCTTGTATGATGGGCAGCATTAAATGACGTTTGTTGATGAAACTTTGATCTGACGGTGTAGATGAAAGATAACTTGAAAGGGCTCTTGAGGCTTGATGGATGGTCCAAATCTTCCTTCTAGAAGGTGAATAGGCGGAAAAGAGGGATATGGGCTCTTGATAGGCGCCCATGTTTATGATAAGAAATGGGGAAGGAGTTTTGATAAGCTATCAAGGCATGTGTTAATGGGCTTGGTGTGATAGGCAAGGGAGGATGATAAGCTATCAAAGGCTATAGTCAATGAATTATTTGTCCTTATCCTAAAATAAAACAATAATTCCCTAAGATTACGAGTTATCATAGGCTTTATAAATTAAGCACTAGGTAACTTTACATAATGGTGGGGCTTAGGGTGGTTTAGACTTAATTCTGGGCATATCTCCTTGGTTTCACAGTTGGACTCGGGAATGACTTGGGATGTTATGATTCAAGTTGATGATGAGGGAAGGATGAGTGATTTTCCTTCCTTGAATTCTTCAAACTCCATGTGGGCGTGAAGGCCTTTACTAACGAAGGCTTGGACTGCAGTTTGGAGTTGATCTTTGAGTAATTTGGCTTGTCCTCTTGTGATTGGGTATGGATGCAAAGTAAGCCCATCCTTTGGATGTGTGGTGGATGTATCAGTAGTATCGATACTCTACTTGCATTATCGATACTCCATGAGTATCAGTACTAAAAATGGCTTATGTTTTCCAATATCGGTACCACGTGACCTCAGTATTGATACTCCTTACAAAAATTGCCTAGATTTCATCACAGTTCATCCATTGTTCATCCAGTATCGACACTTGAACCCAGAAATATCATGTGTACGCTAGGGAAACACCCAAAAATCATTCGAAATGTCTTAGTTTGGTTCCTAATCATGTGCTAAAGCTTTAGGAAGTTATTTAGTTTCATAAAGTGTCATAAAAAGATATGCTTTACACTAAAAACGTCATCTAATCATGAAATCAAGCATAAACCCTAAAATGCTCAAATACTCAAATCTTAACAAACATCATGCTTATGAAAGACTTAACACCACAAAGGATTAGAAAAACACTACTTTGATGTTTGAAACCCAAAATGAAGCTCCTATAGCCAACCAACACTCTCTTTAAGTCTTGGGTGATAAAACCCCCACTGGTAAAATAAGAATCCCAAAGCTTGAATTTCCAAAACAATGTTGATGGAATAATTAAGGACGAGATTGAAGCTTAAAAAAAGTATGAAATGACTTAAAATATTTACCTTTAGCTTGGAGGAGAAATGGGAGAATGAAATGAAGAGAATAAGGAGATGAAAGAGATAAAAGCTCTCATCTTTTAAAAATGGGATAATCGCACTATTGGTCCCTCCTCATCTATATGCTATGCAAAAGTTCCCTTTTTATGATCTTTTGTGCTCAATCCAACCCAATCAAGCCCAACTCGATCCAAAGACTGTAATTACGAATTCCACGAGGTTCACATACCTCTCAGGTAAACCTAAAATTACTAGCATGTAATTTGGGGTGTTATAACATTTATCAAGAAACATATGTTTCCCAAGTGGGGGATTGTTGGATTAAAATCCATAATTATGGGCACATATTTATAATGTATATTGTTGTCATAAAATATGACATAAATTAAGTGACCAATTATGTTATAAAGTCATAATGTATAGAAGTATAATGAAAATAAAAGTGTAGATACTATTAAAGTTGTATTTATAATTTGATGAGGGGTAGAGTTATAAGTATATATAGACAAGAAAGACTCAAGGATTTCAACCTATCCATTAATCCAAGTACGCTTCCGCATCTACTATTTTATTCTTGATATTGGGCATGATTAGATCCTAGTTTATTTTCATATTTCTTATGGTTTGGTTCTAAAGACTATCTCCCCCTACTACTATTTTAGTTTCTCTTTGTCTAAACAAATATCACAGGCTCATAGCAATTAGAACTTATATTTGTGTAATAGTAATAATAATAATAAGTTTCTTTTTTTTAGGAATAATAAAAGGTTGTGTTGTAATCCGTTGAGTCTTTGACGTTGACTTAAATTCTAACTTTGAGTTGACTCTTGAGAGAAACACAAGTGTTGATGAGTGATGTTCATTGCATCTACTGTTAAGTCAAATGGAGAGAAGGGTCACAGCTATTACCATATGTTATCGTTTATGGCAATTACATGAACATAAAATAAGGATTGTTGTTGATGATTGAGACTGCTGCCTTGATGTTTGATTCAAGACTATAATGCGGCATGCAGAGATTTTGTTGAATCTGCATCAACTTCATTGCAGGGCGTAAGCTAGATGGTTGTATTAGTATAGGATCTGAACAAAACTTGTGAATCATTCATTGGTTCATCATTTCTGGTTTTATATTTTAATTTTTTTAGTTTTGCAATTGTCTGTCCAATGAATCTCTGTTTGGTAAACGGGACAATGTAGTGGTACACATACTAAAACTAAATTGTCTAAGCTTTTTATGTTTTTAGATTAATCTTAAAATGTAAAAAGAAATTTAAAAAAAAAAACAACATTCAACTCCCCGTCACATATCCACAAGGGGACAACAACAGAATGAAATATGAGGGTATGAACCCCCACTAAACCAAATCAAAATGGTTGCTTAATGCTAATTATTTAATTGAAAAGCCTCCTTTCTCCCATACCCATAGTGTCCTTGTCAGAATTTGCACCTAATCAAGGGGCCATGCCACTACTGTTACCATTACCATTCAGTCCATCTTTGCACTATATTAACACAGCAAATGAAATGGACTTAAGTCTGTAACAAAGAAGTCTCCCAGTCTCTTTTTGCTACTTGTCCTGTTTCTCCACCTTACTCTCAGTCTGAGCCATGTTAAACTCAGAGTGGATTACTATCGCAACTCCTGTCCTGATGTTGAATCAATCGTCAGATCTGCAGTAAAAGCCAAGTTCGAGCAGACATTTGTTACAGCTCAAGCAACTCTTAGACTATTCTTTCATGATTGTTTCGTCCGGGTTTGCCTTTGCCATTGCCACTATATTTTATGTTATGCAGATTGAGACGGTAATTACGTACATATCTGTTTATATTTGTGTAAGGGTGTGATGCTTCGGTGATGCTAGCTTCATGGAACAATCGTGCAGAGAAGAATAATCCAGATGATCTTTCATTAGCTGGGGATGTATTTGACACTGATAAATCCAAGGCTGCCGTTGATAGTGTGCCTGAGTGCCGAAACAAGGTTTCATGTGCTGATTCTTGGCCCTGGCTACTAGGGATATCATTGCTTTGGTATGAAACCCATTGTTAAAGCTGCTACTTTGCTCAATTGTTGTGCCTGATATAAATAATCAAATTTGTGCTCTTTTTGCAGACTGTAGGCCCATCTTATGCAGTAGAACTGGGAAGACTAGATGGTAAGATCTCAACAAGAGCCAGTGTACGCCATCATCTCCCTCATCCCGATTTCAAGTTAAACAAGCTCAATGCCATGTTTGACTCACATGGCCTCACTCTTACAGATCTGGTTTGTTCAATGATGCAAGGTCAAGAAATATTGTTAACCTATGTGCATCCAACAATGCTGCATTTGAAGAGGCTTTTGTAGCTGCCATAACAAAGCTCGGGCGGATAGGGGTCAAGACAGGAAAACATGGTGAAATCAGGAATGATTGCTCTGTTGTAAACAAGATTTTCTAATTGGTTTGCATCATTTTTCAATGTTGAAACGTTTTGTTGTTTAAGAAAGATAATGAGGAGATTCCAATCTAATCATTCATTCATGTTCTTGTCTTGCATAGTACTAATATACACCTTACTTTTCATGTATAACAGATAAATGAAATTTGAGCAAGAAATAAACGTTGTAAGGGAACGAAAGTTATAAACTATACAACCAGGAAGGCAGTTGAAAGATTACAAAACAAATAAAAAAATAAAATTTGATGGAATTACATATTGCTCAGAGGAATGGAATGATTTTCAGAGATAGGGTCATCAGGAGGCTTATATCCTTGAGGGTAAGTCCCGAAAGCTCCAGTTCAACTTTGCCAGCAGAAACAGTCCTGGTTGGATAAATTACAACCGCCAGGAATGGCTCCTGAAACTGCTGATTGAGCATTTTGATTGAAACATCAATACCAGACAGCCAGCGTCCATACCTAGGTTGAGAGAACGGTACCATCGAACTACATTCTCCAACATGTGAAACAAACAACAATACCTCTTAAGAGAAATGATTTTACATTGACAACGTTATTATGGTTTCAACTTCCAACGGGCTTAGACACCCTTAACACGAGACAAAATAACAATAACAGCTACTACTGAAACAAATTCATATAACTCGAACACAAGTTTGTAGGCACATTGAGGTGAAACACAATTTTCCTTTTGGACTGTGCAAAATAAGGATTTTCTCTTAATGGTGAAACTATTATCGTAAAACAACCACTTACTCCGTTTCCGTCCATAATTATTAACTCCACTTGTCTGGGAGAGTCTTACAAAGTTATCAGTAGTAAAAGTAAATTACAGACTGTATCAAGAACACTTGTTGTACAGCAAAACCATATTCAAAACATGAAGAAAAATCCGGGGGAGTTGGGGGTGGGGGGGGGGGGGTTGAAACAAGAGAGGAGAAGAAAACCAGTTTATTGGTCTACGAATAATCCACCATATACTCAGAGGCATCAGCATGAGTGTTAACCCGAGTTTCGAAGGCCTTCAACTGGCAAAGGAAAGGTGTCCAATACAATGATGGAGTCGGCATTAGTCTTGCCTTGCATCAGCCCCGTCATATCTAACGGGCATGGAGAATCATCTTGAGGAGAGCAAGGGAAGAGATCTTAACGAGCTTGAAGTAGTGGTGATCGTTGCCCCGATGCTTCTCCTGCTTGAGCTTGGCTTGAGTGGTGGTGTCGTTGTGGATTATAGGGTCTGGTGTTTCCACTGTCAAAGATATTGTTCTCTAATTCCCAACTTGCCAAATGGCAAATGCTAAGGTCATCTCATTCCCAAGTTGTCCAATGGACAATGCTAAGGTTATTTTATAGCAAGCATCGGAGTGGAGAGTGATAAAATTCGAAAACTGTTACCTAGCCCGGATGTTAAGACCATTACTGCCGATCGCCACTAAACTGTTCGACTGTTCTTACGCTTGACCTTTTATTCTAGTTGCTGTAAAATATTTTTGGTGGTGTTATTTAATGTCCGTGTTCATTAATGGCCCAAATCAATGTAGAGTAGAAAACATGTTAAAAATGAATCTTATACATCAATATCTAATCATATATGATAAAACAGGCTTGTACCGAGACAAGAAAAGAAAAAGGTCATTAACCAGTGGTACTCCTAGAGATTCACGATTTGGTTTACAATGATTATGAAAATACAAAAATCAATTCCTGAAGTTGAACAGAACACCACAGACTGACTGACTGATACCTAAATAATCCCCACATCTTGACAACTGGGTAGTTACAAAGAAAAAGGATTACCACTGCACTCGGTGAATATAGTGTACAAATAATATGGTCATCCCATATTATTATCCTTCTAGTTTACACGTCATTTTACACTAAGCTACGGGCATAACATTAGTACACTACAGCATATATTTCATCTGACCCGTACCCTTGTTCTCCTCGTGTTTCGGCTCACTTTCTTTCCCTGCTGCTTCTCCATGCCAGTGTTGCTATTGCCTCCCATGCTGCGTTTTGACTTTGGTGTATTCAACTGCTCTAGCGAACGTTCACCTTCAGGCTGCATGCTTGAACTGTTCTGGGAATTGGATACTGCAACATTGTTTTCATTTTCCTTTGACACTTCTAGGGAAGCCTCACTCAACGGCTTAGTCTTGTCCTTCTCACCCGTGCTTGTTGCGTTCTCATCCCCGGAACCAACTGTATTCTCTTCTTGATTTATTGGTCCCTGGTTTTGTTCTTTATCCGCTTCAGCTGACATACTGAAATGATGAAGAAACTTAACAAATTTTAAAAAAAAACATCAAACAACGTCAGAACTAAATTATTTAAGCTAGCAGCACTATCACCTGAATCCTGAAGGTAATCCATTGGCAGTAGATGCATCAGCAGCACGGCCTGTTTTGGCAACTTCTTTTAATGTCACACGGTTGCCTTCTATTTGTGATTCTACAGATTATGTTCAGGGGTGAAAAACTCGTGTAATCAAGAATTAAACAATCCACCTGTCCTAATTGTAAACATGAACACCCCAACAATAAAAAGAATCTTTACAGAAGAGACACAAATTATTTAATCTTCCAAATTGTTAACACACTGTTTCAATCATATGTACCAATACAATTTGTAGCTGTGTTCACGAGGCACTACTTCGAGGGCTTAAGGAGGATAGCAACAGACCTTGGTATGAAAGTTAAGTAGGAAAAATTAAAAGCAAATAGGTTGTTTCTTACCCTGTACAGTTCCTTCAGTAGTAGAACCAAACTGCAGGATAGACCCATTCGTGTCCTTAAAATGATTGGCATCAGCAGCAACATCATCACTGTGGCATAAAAGGTAAAAAGTTAGAATAAGAAAAGCATTGAACTCGTCGTAAAGAGACAAATGAGGAACTTCACAAGTAACAATAAAACCACTTTAACATCACTGCCGACAATTATTTTCTTTTGCTTATTTTTTTGTGTGGAAGGGGGATTTTTTAATGGGAATGATACCAACCTATTTGATGCAGTTTTGATATCTACCGTTGATTGAAGTTTATGTCCCTCATCTAGTGTCTCACCTGAGCCATCCCAAAAAACTTAGAAAACTTCTGACAAAGGTAAAATATTTAGCAGATGATACAGACTAAAGAGAAAAGAACAGAAGAAAGTGTGTCTGCTACACAATGAAGACCTCGATCCAGAATTCATTAGATAAAGAGCAACTTCAGAAAATAAAAGTACTTTCTTTTGAGATTGAGACAAACCTTAGTTACCGAAAAATAACCTAGTCAAGACACTACAAACACGGAAACACCATGTAATTAAATCACCATCCATAACTTTTTCATGGGAAAAAAGTTAGACAAGGCAGGCTACATGCATCAAGTATATTAATTAGAGACATAACTGCCATTCCTCAAATTAATAAAATAATATTCATAATGCAGTACATATAGAGCCACTACATTTGTTCAAGGGAAATTTGACAACAAAAGATAAAAAAGGATGCAAGAATACCTCTTTTTCTCTCAGTGCTTTGAACAGCTTCCATACCCTTGCAAAAGAGAGAGAGTCAAATATAAGTGCTTGACAAATAAAGTGAAATATCAACATATCATAAAGATACCTGATAATCTTCACAACCAAGAGTTGCTGGGATTGGTAAAGCATCACTGTTTAATGCATGTTCTGGAATCTGTGAAGCTGAAATGAGAAAACGATGCAATGTCTTAGAATATCACTGCCTAGAAACCAAACAGACTTGCAAAAATTTTGAAGTACAAAAGACTATCAGAAGAAATGTCTGAGATTATTCCCTCCCAAAAGTTATACTGCACCTGGTCTAGTAGCCAAATCTTCAGATGCCTCCACTGATTTTTTAGAGCTATCTGGGTTATTTTCCTCAGCAGGGCCTAAGTTTTTGGCAGCTAAAGAATCAGGAGCACTATTCTGTTCTAACGCAAACAAAGACCAGTCAATTTTCGGGGATGATAGAGTCCTCAGCATTTCTTCTGTTGCCTTAGATCTCACTTTTCGTGTTTCCTCTTGGATGTTCCATGAACCAGTGGTAGGATAATCCCTTTTCAACTGAATCCATATAAAATGTATAAGCAGCAAATTAAATCCTAACCAAAGGAAAAACGTACTGCAGAGACAATCAAACTTACACCCCCATGCACATTAGTCATATAGAAGAGTAAGAGCAAGCATACGTTTGACCTAATAAACTAAGCATCAGTAAGCTTCAGATCAAAGAGAACCGTGATGTTATTTCTTTTCTGGTAAGATTGCAACAGTGCAGTTAACGCATGCACGTGCTACCTGCACCTCAGCACTAGGGGGGAAGGGGTAAATGTACCTCAGACTCTTTCAGGTTTGGCTCATTTATTCAGGCATATTTCTGGTGCAACTAGGCATTCTTTTTTGCAAGGCGGTAGAAATAAAAATGTCCACCTGATTGAATTTCTCTTTAGTTTCTTTTATTTTCACTTTTTTTATTAGATATGTATTTCCTAGTAAGAAAGGGTTATCAAACTCTATACTTCTCAATATTTGATAGTATTCAACGCAGACACTGATGGTAAAGAAATTATCCATATAACCCAATAAAGCAATTGCATGTTTTGTAAACAAACTTTATATATATTTCAATATATATATATATACACACACACAAAAAAATTGCACTTTACTTCATGCAGGGTAGTTCTTTTTTTAGCCTTGTGCCTGAGGCTACACAACTAGTGCACCTTGTGCCCTTGACAACTCTAAATTGCAATATTTTTTTTTTAATAAAAAAGAGTTAACCATGGGCTCAACCAGGAAAGCAACCCAACAATAATATCATAAGAAACTTAAAGATCTGCAATCTTAATGACCATAATACACACATATGGATCATTACATCCAATCAACAAAGGAATAAGCATATAAGAGCACCTTGGATGAGGACAAGTGCTTGCCCCCAATTGAATATGGTGTTTCTCCCTTGAAAAGTGGCACTCCAAATAGTCGTGGTGATCTAAATTCAATATCGTTCAGAGCTGGTGATGCCCATGGAGGACGAGTTCTCATGTATGTTTTGGCAATGTCCACAGGTGATCCAGCTTCACCTTCAATGCTCTGCAGCAACAAAAGCTTACAAACTTAGAGGTTGACAAATTTTTCACACTAACAGAATATTTGGATATCAGCATGCCATTCATCATAAGTTTCTTTTAATAATGGAGGTATTTACAACAGTAATACGCCAAAATCATGCACAAGAGAAATGAAACCACTTTCACCATTGCCTTAACATGTGAGCAAACTTTGAAACCAAATAACTGCACAATGGAACAATTATAGGCAAATTGGCATCTACAAGAATCAATCATAAGTTGGAGAACAATGGGTAGCTTATATTCATTTACAGCTCACATTCAACTTGTCTTTAAGGTATATGTTAGATTCTTTCTGCATAAAATCTTCCATATAAGTAAAAAAAGGTAAAAGAAGCGCGGTCTATCTATCTATATATATATATAGACATATATAAATATATGTTGATAAGACATGCAGCATGGTTTCAATCTTCATAAAAAATGACAACATAGAAACAAAGGGACAACTGGATAAGGGGAAGAAAAAGAAGCATTTAAGATAAGCTATAACATCAGCTGTACAAGAAATGGAGGAAATATATGAAAAAAAAAATATCAGCTTAAAAGTTAAATGAAGACAGCATAAAGGAAGCTCGGGAGAGCAGAAAGAAGAAGGCACAGAACCAAAGGAAGAAGGGGAAGAAATAAAACATTCAGCATAAGTTATATGAGGCAAAGGATCAATCACACAGAACATGTCAAAACTATAATCATTGATGAAACAGGAAGTATCATAGTGATTATCTAACCTTTTCATCTACCCCTTTCCCAATATAAAGTTCTTATCTAATGAATTTGCACATGCACTTGTTCCTTCTAAGAAAATAATTCACAGAAAGAGTAAAAAACACAACCCACAAGCATCATAGAGAAAAGAGTTACAAACATGTGCCAATGTTAAAAACTTCTGAGCAGAGGTCCCATGGTGCAATTCTGACTTAGAATTTGATCCTGACTTCTCCTCTAACCATTTTTTTGCCTCTATAACAGCTGTGCCACAAAGATCATGATTATTGACATCTGAAAAATAAGAAATAGTTAGTCTGCTATAGTTGTTGAGAAGTTCATTCTCAAAATCTGTTCTCCCAATTTTGTGAAAGCCAAATCACTTTCACCTTCTCTGTCAGCTGTTTCATTTAGCCTTTGAAGCCCCATGCCTCTGGTCACTGGAGAATCCACAACTCTTGACTTAATAATATTTGTTAGTTTATCACACTCTTCCCTGGTCAAAATAGCATCCATTCAGAAGTTCAAAACTAGAAGTTCATGATTAACTAGAGATATAAATGAGGGATAATAGTCGAAACACACATCCAATTAAAAATGCCATGCAAAGTTTGCCAAAGAACCAAATATTTTATAAACGGGACAACATAAGGAGGAAGAAAGAAAGGGATTAAAGCAGGAAAAAAATCCAAATAAGCAAATAAGTTCCTTTACTTGCCTTGAGAATGACTCCTGAAAGAGAAGTTGCTCTATAAGACGCTTGGTTTCAATCTTTCCTGCAAAAGGTTGGGCCTCACCCTGATGGCCCACAAAAGAACAACTAAGGAATCCTCAAAGATCCTTATACATGGAAAAATAAACATAGACAGGAAGAGGAATATATCAAATCAGCTCCAAATTTACCACTATCACCAAAAAGTTATTTTTAAATGTTTTGGTTTTTTCTTTACCAGAATTACAAAAAACATAGAAGGTGGGAAACTTACATGTTCTATGTTATTATGCCCTTGACTCCAGACATCCTGACCATCATTTGTACCACCAGTGTCATCTGTACCAAAATTAAAATAAAATTCTATCAATAAACACGGATGCAATATGTGGACTACTACCTGAGAAAGTAGCCTTTCAGAAGCATAACAACAACACGGATTTTTTATATCTTCTACCGAAAAGAAATATGCTTAATTATCCACTATAAGGTTAGTGCCCAGTAAAGAAGCATGAGAAACAATGGAAGCCTCAAGAATTGAGATGATAATATGTAACCTCACTGAAAACAAGTAGCTTAAAACAGTTGAACCACAAAGCAAGTACTATACCAGAGGGAAGCAATATATTAACATTGCTAGTACTAAAGTACTGCCTGCAGGCTGTAGCTGTAATCAACATTCTAGGCTCCTTATTTTGGTCTGGAATTAAAAGTTAACAACAAAGATGCATGCTTTGATTGTAGAAACCCGTCAACCGAAAACCTAGTGTTTAAGCTATTACTATCAAAACAAATATTAACGAAAAAGAGGGAGGAAATGAAAGGGGAGAGACGGATTTCCAAAAATACATAATTTTAAGAGAGCAAAAAAAATGCATGTGGAACCTGAAGTTGAATCACGTTCTGAAGACGAAGAAGAGGAGGAGGAGGAGGATTCGAGGCCAAAAACAGAGGAAAGTACTCTGGTGGCACCGGAGACGATAGCGCGGGTAGGGGAAAATAAATGCCTGGAGATCCAATTAGGGTTTTGCTGAGTTGAATTGAGCAATCTGGGGCGGTAGTAAGGTGTCGTGCGTGACATGGTTCGCCGAGGACGCAGCATCTTGCCACCGGATCTGGGCTCTCGGTGTTGGGCAGCTCCTGAAATCGAGGCCATGGGGGAAGGTGGTAAAGAGAGGAAGTGGGTTAGTCACTAGTTACAATTGCAAATAGATTGAAAACCAGTTTAAGGGCTTGTCGATATTCTGTCTTATTGCAACCATAAAACAAAGGGTAAACTACTCAGTTGATCACTTAGATATGTAGCCCTTTTACTTCTTTCATTAATCTTTTAATTTTGTCAATTATATTATTTAACTATTTAATTATTCAATTATACCACTAGTCGTTAATATTTGACGAAAATATTGACGTGACAGTTAAATAAATAATTTTTCTAGAAAATCAAATGGGAAATAAAGGTTGAAAAGGATGCATGGAGTGGGGATCAAACCTGCAAACATTAGGAATGCTTGCAAACGCCTTACTAGCAGACAAAGCTCTAAGTTTATGTTATATTTTACACAATCCCTATATATTTCAGTTAATACTAGAGAAAATATATATATATATATGCTCATAATGAGAATTGAACCTATATTTTTTATATATATTATAAATTGATTCATATAATATTCAAATAAAAATTAAATTTAAGTTCTGTATATTTTAAAATAAATTTAATATTTTCCTTTTCACATTTATAATTCAAGGATTATATATAATTAAATTTAGAATATTTTTAATTTAGTAATAATTTTTTATTTTTTATTGAAAATAAAATGTGAATCGTTTATATTTAATTAATTTTTTATCAGAGTTTAATAAAAAAATTGACTTTAAATTACATAATTTAAACTACATAATCTAATAAAAA